CCTATAAGAAATCACTTTGGATCTAAAGGCACACACAGACGGAAGTGAAGGCATGGAAAAAGATATTTCCATGTAAATGGAAACAAAAAGAAAGCTGGAGTAGCAATACTCATATCACACCAGTCAGATTGGCTATTATTAAAAAGAAAAAATAACAAGTGTTGTAAAGATGTGGAGTAAAGGGAAACCTTGTGCACTGCTGGTGGGAATGTAATTTGGTGCAGCCACTATGGAAAACAGCAGGGAGGTTCCTCAAAAAATTAAAAATAGAACTATCATGCAATCCAGCAATTCCACTTCAAGATATTTGTACAAAGAAAATGAAAATATATGCACCCCTATGTTCATTATAGCATTATTCACAATAGCCAAGGTATGGAAACAACCCAAGTGTCTGTCTATAGATGAATTGATAACAAACTATGGTGATAGTTCAGAACTAAACTTACTGTGAGGATCATCTCAGAATATGTAGAAATATTGAATCACTTCAAGGTACACCTGAAACTGATAAGTTGTATGTCAGTTCTACTTTAATTAAAAAATTTATGTCAGGATTTCAGGTTAGGTTTATCTGATTTCAAAGCTCAGGTTTGTTTGTGATCCCTCCATTTCTTGGTATTTCCTCCATGAATATCCTATTCAAACTGAACTCTTTATTCCACAAATGTGCCTAATTCTTTTCCATCTCTCTACCTTTTGCTAATCATACCTCCAACTCTTGGAATGCCCTTCCCACTTATTTCTTCATGTATGAATTTTACTTATCTGTCAGAGACTTGCTTAGTCATCACCTCTGCCATGACACTTTTATTGAGTCCCCAGTCCCAGAAGTAATCTCAGTTCTATTTGTCAGCTACATAGCAAATAGCATGGTTTCTGGTGCACTTCAGCTGCTCCATACATACTAGTGAGTGATGTTAAAATTCTACTCTGTAACATTGCATATGAATTATTTGCATTCATAGAATACTTTGCTTTTAAAAGTTCAAGTAAGCCAGAAGATTTTTTTCTTAGCTTGTTATTTTAGAGGAAATGGACAATCATAATGCATAATCTAATGTGTAGTAAGAGAAGCTGAATGGAAGATAAGTCTCATTTCAATCTGAAATTGCAAGTATATTTAGTAATTTTCTCTAAACAGTTTTTACACACCTCATTTCCTTTTTCATCAGCAATTGTTTTGTAGCTGCAGGTGTAAAATGTAGGTTGACCATGTAAAACTGTCTTGAACACAGGCTGTCATTTTGCAAATTCCACTGGATAATTGGTATTTTTATAAATAATATAATAAAGGACATTTAAAATGTGCTTCTCATTTGGATTTTCTCCAAAAGAGACCATGGAATTACAAAAACCAGATCACCTTTCTCCATGTCATTAAGGGCTTTTTGATGGTTGCCACTGACATACAGGTTTTGCTTTATTCACTTTATTTCATTTAATATTTTTAAAGGCATTGAGCTAAGAGCTATGGAGGGGATAAGGGAATATAAGTGTCTGCAAAAATATAACCTAGTCTGGAAGAGATAATGAACAATGCAAGGTAGTACAAAATCAAATTATCAGTGTAATGGTACAGATCATGGATTCAGAAGATGGAGACAATTATAATATTTTCTAAATATTTTAGTACTTGATTACCCACTGTCTTGTACTATGTATTAAATTACATATAAGAAACATTCAAAAAGCTTTTGCCTTACAGTCTGCATAAAGTACCCCTTCTGACTTTGTAGTCAACAGGCTACCTTGCAGTCAATCATTCCTCAAGGAATCATCTCTTATTCCTAGAATTAAATTCTGTCTCTACCAATTGGTGTTAATAGCTAAAAGATACTGGTCTCAAATTCTACCCAAGTACGCACAGTCTTTATTCTAGATGTATCACCTGCAAAGCGTTGTTTGTTTTTTTTGCTTTTCCCTCTGGATTTTCTTTCCTCTTCTGTGTTTTATTTTAATTCTTAGGATATTTGGTTTGATAGGGGAAAATAAAACCCATATTATGTGCCTGATAACATGCTAGATATTTTTCATATATATTCTCTCATTTTATCTGCACACATAACAGTAACTTTCTTCTAGATAGTTATTAATCATTCTCATTTTTAAAGTTAAGAAAACTGATGTCCAGAGAGGTTAAATAAATTGTCTAACATTGAGCAGGCAAGTTTTCCACAGACTTCAGCGTCTGGTATTAGAATGTAAGTTTGGATGCTTTTTTGAATTAACATTTACTAAAAGACAAAGAATTAAATTTAATGTTGTATATCTTGTATTAATAAAAGCTGAGTAATAAGTAGCACAGAACTGAAGAGAAAGGTAATGGAACAAAATACCATGATTGAGAGTCAGAGACACAGAAGCAGATCCATGAAGACTTCAGATATTGGAATTATTAGGCACAGATAAAAAAAAAAAACTGTGCTTGCTATTTTCTACTAAATAAAAGCAAGCTTGAAATCGTTAACTGAAAAATGCCAAATGGTGACATTGTATATTTGAAAAAGAACCAACTAGAAATTTTAGAAATGTGAAGTATAAGTCAAATTATGAAAATGATTTGATAGTAGACCAGACACTGCTGAAGAAAGAGCCAATAAACTGGAAAATGAGTATAAAAAACTATTCAGAATGCAATACAGAGAGACAACAATGAAAACTACAAAAGAGAGAATAAATAATGAGAGCAAAGTCTCTAACGTTATTTCACTGGAGTTCAAAAAACATTAGCTATTATTATTATTATGTCACTTCTTGCTTAAATATCTTCAATATTTCCCATTGCCTATAGAATTAAATATAAACTTATATAATAATAAAACCTCCTTGTAATTATTTAAACTTATCTCCAACTTTTTCCTAACATAACATAACAGCTTTGTCTATGCTCTTTTCCTCTCCATGCCCTTCCTTAAGTTTTATGTTCCATCCCAGCTTTCTTGCCTGAAAACAGAAGGCTTTCACGGCCCTCTTCTTTCCTAGCCACAGTCTGATGATTGCTCCTCCTCTTGCTGTTTCATCATGCTTCCTTTATCTGTTTTCAAATCTCAAATTATATTACATTATACTTTGTCTACATGTCTGATGTCACATTTGAGTGTATACTTCTTAAGGGCTTGGATTTTTAAAAATTTTATTAAACTTTATTTTTTAAAGCAGCTTTAGGTTCCCAGAAAAATCAAGCAGAAGGTATAGAGATTTCTTTTGTACCCTGACCCCACATAGGCACAGCTTCCCCCACTATCAACATTACCCACCGTGGTGGTACATTTGTTACAGTCAGTGAACCTACATTGACCCACCATTATCATCCAGTCTCCACATAAACGATGCTAGGGCTCACTCTTGATGCTGTACATTCTGTGGTTTGGACAAGTGTATAATGACATGTATCCACCACTGTTGTATCACACAGAATAGTTTTACTGCCCTACAAATCCTCTGTGTCCCACCTACTCATCCTTCCCTACCCTCTACCCTCTGCCTAGACATTCTTTTTAATTTATCCTTAGAACATAACATAATACCTGACATATAGTTGTCCCCAAATAAATGTTTTTAGATGTATGGTTGAATGAATGAAAGGGAGAGACAAATTGGAATCAGTGCTTCTTTTCATTGTCTTGCTGACTGATATTTTATCTCTGTTTTAATATTTACTCGTACCAATTCTATTCTAGTCAGAAGACCACCCCTACATTACTATCTTTTAGAACTCTGGGTATTCTTGAGATGCTGATTCAGATCTCACCTAATCCATTAAACCTGAGTCAAGAGTAAGCTCTAGATACTTTTAAGACTTATTTAATAAATGATCTATTTAATTCAATATGTCACATTTGTATTTTTTTGTTTCACGAATCTATGTCTGGACTCCCCAGTGTAACTGAATTATGTTTTTATATGATGGGTAGAGTTTTCATCCCCTCACTTTTTATAAGCAAGAGGTGTCTTCATAAATTATTACTTTGGGATTGTAGACAATGGCCGTGGAACAGAGAAATTTGCTGATCTATAAAGAATTCACAGTCTCAGTCTCTTTTGTACCAATTCAACTGTCTAGGATAGAAAATTATTGGGAACTAATTAAAAACAAGGAATTTTTTTTTTTTTTAGATTTGAGTTTGCAATGGTTTCCATACAAAGCTGTAGACGATTGCCAAATTGTTATTAAAATAATATAACCTTTATGTGCTAGCAAGAGTTATTTTTACAACTCTTCCATCCTTTTCCAAGTATATTAAACATTTTTAAACTGCATCTTTTTTTGTTATTTTGTCTTGATAAAAATTTAAGAAGAAAGTTATATGCATGTTGCTGATTTTAAAGTCATCACTTTATGCCTCCTCCGACCCTCAATACTAAACATAAGGGAGAGATTTTTGAAATTTCATTCAATTAGTTTGACTATATAAGAAGATGTGTTTATCTGGGTGCGATGGTTTTGTGTCAGTCTACATTGTAAAACTATTGTGCACAAATGTCAGTTTTTCCTCAGGTTAATTCACTGGGATGCCTTTCAATAGTTTGAGGGATTTCTGGGAAAAGTGCCTTGAGGAGGCTTGAATTTGGGTTTTATGACTCAGGGAGTTACAAAACTTCCACTTTAATAAAGATCAATACCCATTTGAAAGATTATGGGGAAAACAGCCCATTCATATAAAAAATCATATTCTTTTTAGTTAAGCTGCAGTTTTGGCCATTTGTATAATAATGGCAGTCTCAATAGCTGTGTTGGGTGATCTATCATTATGAATTGTATAATAATACTCTTCCTTCTTGGAATAATACTACAGGGTATGATATTTACCATTCCAAAGGAAAGCAAAACATTCAATAAACATTATCTTTAAAATATACTGCTGTGTATATTCCTTATTATGATCTTGTAATTGATACCAGTTTTAAGTTGAAAACTCAATTCATGTTCACTAATTTCAAGTCTTAAAAGGTAAACTGAGTGATTAGGTTTATGGCTGTTCTATTTTTATTCACAGATAATGCGTCTGATGTAGCAATTACTGCTCCAGGAAGTAGTAACCATAGAAACAGCTCGACAGGGCCAACACCTGACTGCTCACCTCCATCCCCTGACACTGCCCTCAAAAATATTGTAAAAGTTATTCGACCCCAGGTAAGTGCCCAGAATGACATCATCTGCAGTAGCATATATATTTTTTTAATCATTGCATGTATACTACTTATAATGCAATGCCTGGACTATTTTATGATATGCAAATACATTTTTAGATTAAAAGAAGGGACTTGGAGGAGGATGTTTCCTTCCTTGGAGTTAATGATACACATTGAAATCTGTATTATTTTTCGAATAATGAATTTGTATATTACATGAAAAAAACAAGTGAAACTTAGAAAAATGGCTACTTCACATCATTTTCCTCTCACATTTTAATAATTATGCTCCAATTACTGAGCTATTACATGTTTTCTGGGTTTTCCTGATTCTTTTGTCTTCATTTCTCTGGACATGCCGCATTATTTGTGATCATTTCTCTATCTTCCAACCTAAGTTGTTTTGATAATTTTCTTTAAATTCTCTATTCCTTATGGTTTCCAACTAATTTTGTCTGTGTTTAATATTGCACCTCTCATTGCTCCTTATTTTTCTCCAGTGCTCACTTTCCTCTAGCTTGTCTCCCTCTACCTTTTGTTCTTTTTTTCAATTTCTGTCATTTGCATGTATGGGTTTCTTTCTCTTCCTTCTCTTTCAGTTGGATTTCCCAGTAGGCGGTTTGCAGGCAAGCTTTAGAAATATCATTGGGACAAGCTGTTCTGTGATATTTCATTGAAAATAGCACTTATAAAGCTGTTTGCATTACATTTTTGCCAACAGATGGACTCAGAACATGGAATTGGTGGTGTTCTCAGCCTGGCTCATTCTGAATGGGCCTCATAAAATCCAAGTGAGGGGGACTTTGGATCCAATCAATGCCATTCACCATCTACTTAGATATATAGTATGAACAAATCCTTGGAGCCAATTTTGTAAGACAAATGTCTCTTTTTAAGACTGTTTTGGCCTAAATGAGCAATGATTCACTTAATATCTACCTTCTTCAATATGATTTATTTTAGTTTATTTTCATTATAACCATCCTCATGAATAAAATGGCATTTTAACTTCACATATTCACTGTAGTTTAGAGAACACTTTCACATAAACTGTTTCATTTAACCTTCATTAATTTCAAGGGAATGTAATACTGTAGTGCTATAGATAAGGATATTGACACTCCAAAGAGGCTAAATTGTGCAACTGATTCAAAGTTCCTTTTCTTGTTTTCTTAATGTAATAGTTGTCTCCTCCAGTCCTGCTCAGAGGTTAGAAAAATCTTCTTGAGGTTGTACAATATCTTTATGAGAATGGAACTTACAGGTTCATTTAGGCAAGATAACATTTCACACAGTGTCCAACTATGTGGAGGAGGAAATGTCTTCAAAGATCCCTTCTTTCTTTTCAGAAAAATTTGATCTAATTCATTTGCTTCAAGAAATAAACCTCACTAAAGCCAGATTTAGATGCTAAATGTCACATTTATCTTCACTGGTTCTCTCGTTATATGAAGATGTTTCTGGTGTTATTTTGCAGCCATTACATTTTCAGCATTTTTAATTAGGTAGGAGATTATCTTATATATAAGTTAAAGACATCCATTACTGAAGACATTTATTTTTATATCAACATAAATTATCTAATATAAATGAATTTGGTCATTAAATGGATTTAAAAAAGCAGATTCTCTTTCTACATATTTGTAATCTAATCAGCTCTAAGGGATCTTACTCCATGAATCCTTCTTTGCATTCTCTATTCTATTTTATTTTAGTTTATTTTGGTAAATTGAAAAAAAGTAGCAGTAGCCAGAAATTCCATTTTGACTCAATTCCTTTGTTCTGTCTGTTATTAAATGTTTATAAAGGCAACTGATTCCACCTTCCTTTCTTAGATGTTATAATGATGATTTAGGAAGGAAAAAAATGAAGTGAGAAAGTCAGGAAACTAAGGTGATGGCATTTAAATTTGAGCCAATGCAGCCTGAAGTATGTATGTAATAGAACAGTAGCAGCTAGGGTGTATAGTTGGAAAAGAATATAACCTCACGTGGATTACTGTTCCTTTTGCCTAGAGACTTTGGTGCTTTACCTATTTCTTCTTATGAGTTCTGATCTTCTGGGCTCCATATTCATTGGAAAGGGCAGGGAATAGAAAGTATTCTAGTGGAAGTGGAAGTAATTACAAGGGAATATAAGTAGGATATGTGATTTCAGGAAAGGGGTTGGAGACTAGAGGGTGTGGATGGGGGACAGGTAGGTGGATAAAATAGTGGACTCCCTTGTGTGTTCTGACAAGTCACAAGTGTGTCAGGGATGAAACATTGTCAAGAGCTAACTGTTCCAAAGAAAAGATAATTATTGGTTAGCTTCTATAAGAGCCCATATTTTGATCACAGGTTTAATCCTCTAAAGTGTCTGCTAATTCTGGCTTTATGTGTGGAAATGCAAGAAATGTGAAGTTAGATTGACTTGTGGTATTCAAACACTTCTTTTTTTCATTTACTAATTAGACATTAATAACCTGGTTGAAATGATCCTTTTACTCTTAAAACTGGGGTTAAGTCTTGGAAATAACAACTCTTATCCATGAATTTACATTCATGTGCCCAGGTATTAGCAGATGTGTTCAGTCTTATTGTGAGAAGAATGATCTAGAACAGATGAGAGATGAAACAGAACTTTCATCTCATTCACTGCAGATAGAGACTGCTTAGATAGAACAAGTTAGGTTACTTCCCCTTTGCCTCATGCATGCCTTTGCCTAATTTACTTTCCATAACTCTACCTGTAAATGGAGAATATCCATTGTAACCAAGGAGTCCTTGCTGTCACAGTGAGGTAGGCCTGATTACACATTGCGTGTGTTTCTGATTAGTGTGTTAATTACTGGAAAGCTACCAACTTGTGGTGCTTTGTTAAGTTTGATTTTATTCAGCATATTTATTAACTCACTAAGTCACAGCTGTTAGTTCTGCATCTTGTGTTTGATCTTTTTACCTTTGCTTCTTGGGGCTCTTTCATGTCTTAAAATTTTCCAGATTGTGAAGCATTCTATTTTCTATTCACAGAGACAGAAATATTTATACACTACTGGTTACTCTTTGTTTCTCTCCAGTATACTGATCCACAAGGCTGAGTTTCTCTATTTAGATGAATTCACAAGGCTGGGTTTATTTACTTATACTTGAAAATAAAATTATTTTGAAACTTGAAAAAGTACTTCAAAATACTTGAAAAAATATTGCTGTTGAAAAAAATTTTAGGTGGGGCGCCTGGGTGGCTCAGTTGTTAAGTGTCTGCCTTCGGCTCAGGTCATGATCCCAGGGTCCTGGGATCGTGCTCCACATTGGGCTCCCTGCTTGGCAGGAAGCCTGCTTCTCCCTCTCCCACTGCCCCTGCTTGTGTTCCCTCTCTCGCTATGTCTGTCAAATAAATAAAATCTTAAAAAAAAAATTTAGATAAGTCTATTGATACACTTCTTTCTACTAATTATATGCTACTTGCAATAAGCTTTTTTTTTTAATGTTTTCCTGGTGAAACATCTTTTTTCTCCTTAACTGAAGAATAAAACACAATTTGATGAATTTTGACCATTTGTGTATGTAAGTGTAACCACCACTCAAAGCAAGATATTAAAACATTGTCATCATCCCAGGAAGTTGCTTCATGCCTCTTTCCAATCAACTATACCCAGTCCCGCCTTAAAAGCAACTTCTGATTATTATCACCATAGATTACAATTGTCTATTCTTGGACTCTATATACATGGAATCCTACAGTGTGTGTGTGTTTTATGTATCTCAGTGTCTGACTTCTTTCACTCAACATAATGTTTTTGGGATTCGCTCATATTGTTCCTTTATTGCTGAGTAGTATTCTCTTGGGTTAATATAGTACAATTTGTTTATCCATTTTCCTATTGATTGATACTTGTGTTGTTTTCCTGCTGTTTGTTATTTTGAATGAATATGCTGTGAATACTTACATTCGCATCTTTTTATGAACATATATTTTCATATAGATACCAAAGAGTGGAATTGTTGGGTCATAGGTAGATGAGTAAATACTTTATAAGAAACTTCCCAAGAATTTTCCTGAGTAGTTGTTCCACTTTATAATCCCTAACAGAAATGTGTGAGAATTTTAGTTTCTCTATATTCCCTCAAACATTTGGTGTATTAGACTTTTAAATTTTTATATTTTAGCCATTCTTACGGGTGTGAAAATATTTCTCATTATGGTTTTAATTTGCATTTTTCTGGTGACTAATAATGTTGTGCACCTTTTCCTATGGTTATTGCCCATTCTTAGATCTTTTGAGGAGTGCCTATGCAAGTCCTTTAATGGGCTTAATTTCCTACTTATTGATTTGTAGTCATTCTTTATAATTTGTCCTGTAGTTCCTAGAGATATGGGTCCTTTGTCAGGTTTATGTACTGCAAATATTTTTCTTCAGTCTGTGATTTGACTAAATATTTTTAATGGTGACTTTGGTGACCAGAATGTTTTAATTTTGGTGATATCCAATTTATTAATTATTATTCTTTCATGGTTAGTGCTTTCTGTGTCTTGTTCAGGTTTTGAATATATGTACCCATATATTTTTTTAATAAAAGCTTTCTGGTTCTTGCTTTTATATTTAGTTCTATGATCCATCTCAAATTGTTGTTGTATGGTGTGAGGTAGGAGTTGAGATTCATTTTTTTTCCTACATGGAAAAAAACTTTCCTGTCCTCATTGAGTTGAGTTAATCCTTTAGTATTGTTTATTATTTTCACTTTCCAGTTGTTTATAGTTGGTATATAGAAATGCAATTGAATTTTATATTATCCTGTATCCTGCCACCTGGATAATTTCATTTAAAAGTGATAGTAGTTTTTTTAAATAAGTTTCTTAGAGTTCTGTCATTTAGAATAATAATGGTTTTATTTCTTTTCTAGTCTTTATACCTTTTATTTCTTTTTCTTACTGCTGTGACTGCAGTGCAATGGTGTATAGAAGTGGTAAAACCAAAACTCCTTGCCTTATTCTCTATCTTTGAGGGAAAACATTCAGTAT